CTATCTCAAAACAGGATCGGTGAATTTGACGGACTTCGTAACCACCAAAAAAAAATTTAAATGAACCCTTTTTTCTTTCTACAATGCCTTCAATTTGTAACATGAAACTACATTCGTTTATCCTTAGTAGCTCTAAGTTAGTAACATTATACATCTGTTTATAATTAAATTTTATTGTTTTATTGCCCTTTGAACTGTGTCTAACTACTATCCGTGCCATTATAAGTTGTAAATCACTCCGGGAACGTGCAGCTCGCGTTACGCTATTGAATTACATTACCCACGAACTGCTCGCGTGCATGCCTCATGAACAATTTTAATTATATTATTATTACTTATTTTACCTAATTTAGTCTTAAATAACTTAAACAGATCCATAATTTTAGATTTTAGTTACTTTTATAATAATAAATATATATGTCGAGGAGAGTTAAGCCTGATTTTTATAGTAATTATAGTAAAGCACTTAACAATTTTTATTTAATTAAATAATGCACCGAAGAATATAGACTAATAATATGCAAAAAGTAGACAAATTCACTTACCTCTCAAAATTTCCTGGCTTTCTAATTATGCGACAAGAGTCGTTACAAATTCATCCAACGAATCTTGCACTGTGAGTGAAATCGATGATATTCTGTTCAGAACACAATGTTATACAATACATCATTTGATAGATGAAAACCTTGACTTTCTATTGGTTACAGGTGATATATAATGAAACGTAAGAGATAACTATCAACGAATTGTGAAAGAGAGGGTGTGGCAGGAGGGGTCTAATTTTTTAATCGATAGCTCTGTAACCAAACAAAATTGAAGGCCATAAAATTTATGGTTTGACTGAGCAATAACAATTTTATAGAGAGTAATTTACGTTTCATTTTGTACATTTTTGAAGGGTGATGGATAAAATAGGGATGAAGGCATGCTAAGACAAAATGTGTCACGTGGGTCACACTAGTGGAAATTCAGGACTTTTTAAAATATTTCCTTGTATAATTAAGAACTTAAAACTTGTGTACTATTAAAATATGGATTATTAGCTAAGATTTTATGCTATTGTAATTGGTATAACATAAACGAAAAGTAGTGTAATAAAAATAAAACCTTGTGTCATGCACAGAAAAGGGTACCTGGGGTGATAGGGTTAATCGCTATCATGTAGAGTTTTATATTCAAGCTTAGTACATAATTTTATCCTTTTGGTAGCTGTGTATCTTTTATTTAAGAGTTTTTAAATTTTTTCTTTATCACAGGTACACAAAAGTTTACAACGAATAAGAGAGAGGAAACTGGCCCAGTTCATCCCGTGGGGACCTGCCAGTATTCAAGTAGCCCTGTCTCGTAAATCTCCATACATCCAAACAGCACACAGAGTGAGCGGCTTAATGCTAGCCAACCATACAAGCATTTCCTCGGTAAGTACGAGGACAAATTGTTCAACCTGCCCAACACATGAGGGTTTTCTCAGTAGCTATGGAAACAAATTATTCAACCTGCCCAACACATGAGGGTTTTCTCAGTAGCTATGGAAACAAATTATTCAACCTGCCCAACATGTGAGGGTTTTCTCAGTAACTATGGAAACAAATTATTCAACCTGCCCAACATGTGAGGGTTTTCTCAGTAGCTATGGAAACAAATTATTCAACCTGCCCAACACGTGAGGGTTTTTTCAGTAGCTATGGGAACAAATTATTCAACCAGCCCAACACGTGAGGGTTTTTTCAGTAGCTATGGGAACAAATTATTCAACCTGCCCAACACGTGAGGGTTTTTTCAGTAGCTATGGGAACAAATTATTCAACCTGCCCAACACGTGAGGGTTTTTTCAGTAGCTTGCATAAAATTTTAATCATCAATATTTTCCCATTTTGGCTGCAAACTTTGACTTCACATCTTTCTGTAGCAAATATATATTTATTTATTTTTTATTATTATTATTATTATTACACTTGTGCTGTTTTTGTTTAGACATCACTCTTTTTTTGTTGTACATTAGATAAAAATAACCATAAAAGACATAAGTTTGATATTCAGATATAGTTTGGAATAATTAACATCAAGCACCTATTAAAAATGTGGGTTTCTTCAATAATTTTGAGTTCATATCTTTCAGTTGGTTTATTTTGTCCACATTTTTTTCAGTCAAGTTGTTTTTCAATAGATATCATGTTTTATATAGTAGATAAGGTGATATTATAAAATATGCCAGAAACGAAGGCAGGCACGTACCAGGAAGCGTTTTTATTAGTTTAAAGTGTGATGCAAAGTAGTACGCAAAAACTGTGTGAAAATGTTTACACAATGATGGTTTTAGGCTCATAATTTCTGGATTTCGTGTCCAATTTTTATAAAATTAAAAATGGTCCACTTTTAAGAATACCCTAATATGTGATAGAAATTTCAGCATGATCGAGTTGGCCAATTTTTCTCCAGGCAAGCTCAAATATTTACAAGATTTAACATGATTTATGATTATTTTTTCCCATAAGGGGAACATATACACCAGATATGTAACAAATTAAAAAGAAATCGACTCAGGGGAAGTGTTTTTTTTTTTTTCACTGGTACAAAGAAGGAGAAGAAGAAGAATAAAACTAATTTCAGGCTAAGTTTGGCCTTTTGGGAAAATGATACGGTTAAAGTGATTTCTTTGAACTTTGGTACGTAAGGTAAGGAGATCTGGGGAACCTACCATACAAACAAATTGGAGAGTTTTGATTAACGGGAGCGACTATATGGATGATTGAAAAACCTAAAGTTTTCATTCTTATTAATAACACACTAGGTGTCGTGCAGTTTGCCACGTGAAACCTAGTGTGTCTTTATTGAACCTGCCTAACACACAAGCATTCCCTCAGTAACTATGGGAACAAATTGTACAACCTAATTAGTGGATAGATGAGTGTTTTTATTTATTTAGATAGAAAACTGTTATCTTGATTGTTATATGTAATCATCATCTTATCTTAGAAAGATTATTTCAATATACAAGTCTGATCTTGGTATTGTACACTATGTAAGAGTGTACTTCCTGTTGTATCAGGTTAAACTTAAAATAAATTACTGTGCTTCTTTCTGTGCCCCTGTAGTATTGTTTTTACAGTATTGTTAACTAAAGCTCTGAATTTATCTCTAATAAAAGGATACTTTAATTTATTTTATAATAATGTGTTTTGTAGATACTGACATCTGTGTAATGTGTTTTAATAGATACTGACATCTGTGTAAAGGTTTGTTTGATGTTATCACAGTATTGTAAGTTCTAATGTGTTTTAATAGATACTGGCATCTGTGTAAAGGTTTGTTTGAGGTTATCACAGTATTGTAAGTTCTAATGTGTTTTAATAGATACTGGCATCTGTGTAAAGGTTTGTTTGAGGTTATCACAGTATTGTAAGTTCTAATGTGTTTTAATAGATACTGACATCTGTGTAAAGGTTTGTTTGAGGTTGTCACAGTATTGTAAGTTCTAATGTGTTTTAGTAGATACTGACATCTGTGTAAAGGTTGTTTTTGAGGTTGTCACAGTATTGTAAATTCTAATGTGTTTTAGTAGATACTGACATCTGTGTAAAGGTGTTTTTGAGGTTATCACAGTATTGTAAATTCTAATGTGTTTTAGTAGATACTGACATCTGTGTAAAGGTTTGTTTGAGGTTATCACAGTATTGTAAGTTCTAATGTGTTTTAATAGATACTGGCATCTGTGTAAAGGTTTGTTTGAGGTTATCACAGTATTGTAAGTTCTAATGTGTTTTAGTAGATACTGGCATCTGTGTAAAAGTTTGTTTGAGGTTATCACAGTATTGTAAGTTCTAATGTGTTTTAATAGATACTGGCATCTGTGTAAAAGTTTGTTTGAGGTTATCACAGTATTGTAAGTTCTAATGTGTTTTAATAGATACTGGCATCTGTGTAAAGGTGTTTTTGAGGTTGTCACAGTATTGTAAGTTCTAATGTGTTTTAATAGATACTGGCATCTGTGTAAAGGTGTTTTTGAGGTTGTCACAGTATTGTAAGTTCTAATGTGTTTTAATAGATACTGACATCTGTGTAAAGGTTTGTTTTAGGTTATCACAGTATTGTAAATTCTAATGTGTTTTAGTAGATACTGACATCTGTGTAAAGGTGTTTGATTATATTCACTGAATCTATTAAGTTGTTTTTCTTCACAAATCATCATTATTATTATATGTGTTGTTTTTTCTCCAAACATTTAAAGGTAATTTTTTATTTATGAAGATATTTCAATAAAAATTGGTAATCTGACAGTAAGAAAAGGCTTAGCTTTCTTCTGGTGGAACTAATCGTGAAATCCACTAATTAGAGAAGTTTTTAAAACTTTAGTTGAGTAGTTAACCATGTTATGTTAACTAACTTAGAGCTACCTCAGAATTTTAATGGTTTTGTGATATTGAAGCTATAATGTGATATATGAAGTATCTTGCTTCAAAAAATATTTTGTAGTCATCCAGAAATTCAATAATGGGTGCATTATTACATAATTTGTAAAGTTTATATTAACACTTTACCGTATGTCATGTTAAAGTTTATATTAACACTTTACCGTATGTCATGTTAAAGTTTATATTAACACTTTACCGTATTTCATGTTATAACTTTGATTTCTATTGAAATGTTTCTAATTACTATTGGTGTATTTTGTCATGTTATAACTTTGATTTCTATTGAAATGTTTCTAATTACTATTGGTGTATTTTGTCATGTTATAACTTTGATTTCTATTGAAATGTTTCTAATTACTATTGGTGTATTTTATGTCATGTTATAACTTTGATTTCTATTGAAATGTTTCTAATTACTATTGGTGTATTTAAAAATAGTTGAATGAAAAGAAAGTGTAGCCTTTCTTCCAAACATATTTCTTATTTTGTATTGAGATATTCCTAATATTGTAAGTATATCTCGGGCAGGTGTATTTACCAACTTAAAAATTGTTCATGACTATTGCTATAGCTTGACTCTTCTTCTTTGGATAGCTCTTCGATCGTACATTACGCCAGTATGACAAACTTCGGAAACGTGAAGCTTTCTTGGAACAGTTTCGTAAGGAGGCGATCTTTCAGGATAACCTGGATGAACTGGATTCTTCCAGGGAAGTAGTCCAGCAATTAATTGATGAATATCTTGCAGCTACCAAACCTGACTACCTGACATGGGGAATGCAGCAAGTAAGTGTACAGTATGGTCACTAGACAAGGTGTGGTTTGTTTTATATTAGACACAGTATGATCACTAGACAAGGTGTGGTTTGTTTTATATTAGACACAGTATGATTGCTAGACAAGGTGTGATTTGTTTTATATTAGACACAGTATGGTTGCTAGACAAGGTGTGATTTGTTTTATATTGGACACAATATGGTTGTTAGACAAGGTGTTTTTTCCAGGCTGGTATCGATATTAACTGACTGTGTGTTTTTTTTTCCAGGCTGGTATCAATATTAATTGACTGTGTGTGTTTTTTTTTCCAGGCTGGTATCGATATTAACTGACTACGTGTTTTTTTTCCAGGCTGGTATCGATATTAACTGACTGTGTGTTTTTTTTTCCAGGCTGGTATCGATATTAACTGACTGTGTGTTTTTTTTTTTACAGGCTGGTATCGATATTAACTGACTACAACATTGAGAGAAGATCACGGTTTTGTATAGTTGTTTTCATATTATAGTAAGTGTACATAATTATCTTCAATACTGTTTGTTTTTGTTTGACTTAACTCTTTTACTTCTTTAAAAATATGTATAAAAGAAAATTTTCTAAACTCAATAGAGAGATTGTAACGACTGTTGCTTTGTTTTATTTGTAATTTGGCTCACTTAAAACATTATTCTGTGTGTTTATTAAACAAGATAATTATGTATTTAAAAAATCGGTGTTTTTCACAAAAAAATTATCTTCATAAACTGAGCATATTTAGTTATTAGCATCTTTCTGTTCAATATTATTTAATAAAGTGATATTTTGAGTACTGAGTAAAAGTGTTTAATATTAGACAGAGCCATGCATAGTTTTGTTCTGCAACTTGTATGACATGTAAAATGACTTCGGACTCCATGTTTACTTTCAAGATGTTATTACCGTACAGCATGAATGAATCAGCTAATAGTACCATTTCAGATACAGATGACAAATATTCATAAAATCTTTATTGTTCAATGTTTTCTATAAGCTTGTTATAAATTGACATGACTGATCAGTGTCATTCTTCTAAATTATATGTTTTAAAACCAATTAATAACATTCTACTAAGGACTGATTCAAACCCAAGATATTTTGTTTGACTGAAGAAGTCAACAATAAACTCTAACACCTTATCTGTTTGGATTATATTATACAAAGAGTGAGTATTTAAAGCACAAAGAATTGAGTAAGATTTATACATGTATGTTTGGAGTGGAGAATCTTTGAAAGATTCTCAAAACAGTAGGAAATAAAATTGTTTTATTAGAAGTCAAAGTGTCTTCAAGTTGGCAAACGAGATAATTTAGCCCACTCTCTAACAAGTGATATTTGACTCTGTGGCAAAAGACGTGCCTGATGATCTATCCAAGGTGAAAAACATGCCCGATTCCTCCACTATATGACAAATTACTCTGTGGCAAAAGACGTGCCTGATGATCTCTCCAAGGTGAAAAACATGCCCGATTCCTCCACTATATGACAAATTACTCGAAGCAAAAGACGTGCCTGATGATCTCTCCAAGGTGAAAACATGCCCGATTCCTCCACTATATACAAATTACTCTGTGGTAAAAAGACGTGCCTGATGATCTCTCCAAGGTGAAAAACGTGCCCGATTCCTCCACTATATGACAAATTACTCTGTGGTAAAAGACGTGCCTGATGATCTGTCTAAGGTAAAAAACATGCCCGATTCCTCCACTATATGACAAATTACTCGAACTGTAATTAATTACATTTCTTGGCATAGATGTTAACACTTAAAATGTCCGATAACTATATTAATGAACTAAAAAAAAGAAATTGGATTAGTAAAACAAATAGAACTTGCTTAAAACAAATTAGGCCTAATCCCTTTATATGTGCTCCCTCATTATATTGTTACCAGTACTGAGATTGTACTTCAGGTATACTGTTTTATGTGGATGTTCAATCGGGTCATTTATTTATACAGCTTGCTAGTTGATTATTTTAAAAGTGTCTTGGTGTTATCGGACTAGAAATAATCATTGTTAATGTCGTGCGTGATATTCATTAGTTATGAAAACAACAAAGGCTGTCCCTGATTTGTATTAGTAAAACTTTATCCAAGTAATAATGTTATGAAAATTTATTACGTGAAAAAAACTATTAATTTGGATGTAAGAAACAACAGTGACATTGAAATTAACTTGGGAAACAGCTCGTTTTCTAAATTTCAAATCAGAAACACACATTGATTTTACTTTATTTACAATAAAAATTGCCACTCCATGCTAAATAACTGGGATATGTTTTGATGTTAATCAACTTCTACTTCAGTTAGAAGTTGCTTTATATCTTGTAACACTTTGTAACTGTAACTGTTATCTTGTAACACTTTGAAAATATTTAACTTCATCACAAGAGATTGAAAATATTTTACTATGTGCATGTTTATAATAAACATTGAGCTGTGCAGTATAATGCAAGAATGCATGTTTATAATAAACACTGAGCTGTGTTCTTGCAGTATAATGCAAGAATGCATGTTTATAATAAACACTGAGCTGTGTTCTTGCAGTATAATGCAAGAATGCATGTTTATAATAAACATTGAGCTGTGTTCTTGCAGTATAATGCAAGAATGCATGTTTATAATAAACATTGAGCTGTGTTCTTGCAGTATAATGCATGTTTATA